GGATCCCGTCCTCCACAAATGGCCGGAATCTCTCTCAAGCACTCCGCCTGTCCCAGCTCCTCATCCTCCCCAGAACACCACACAATGTAGGTTTCCGCTCACAGAGCAGATCTCCAGGGCCGGGTGTTCAGCAGTTCCAGCCCTCCACCCCTTCCCCCACTCCATTTCGCTTCCTCCCTCCAGTAAATTGGGGTGGGGGAAGGGCTCGGGTCCCGCCAGATCAAGGCTTTCATACGTTACCTTGTTTTGTGAGGTCTGCACTGTTCATGAGGTGTGTGTGCAGTCTGGTGCAGTCTTCTTTTCTGTCGCTGTTTTAGGGTTAGTTGTATTAACTATATTTTCACACTATCTTTGGTTTTGGGAGGAGTTCTCTGTCTCACCTCTCACACCGCCATCTTGAATCTTATTTGGATCTATTTTTAAATTTTCTAGACTGTTGCATTTTGCCAATTCATGCACCAGTATGTACCACCATGTATGGTGATAAATGTCTGGCAAAGCTAATTCCTCCTCCTTATAGTTTTTCTTTTCCATGTTTTATTACCTATTCTTACATGTTTATTTTCCCATATGCACTTTGGTATCAACTCATTTATCTTCATAAAATAGCTTGTTGTTATTTTTTATTGGAATTGCATTTAATTTACAAATTAACTTAGCAAGAACTGACATCTTTATGATTTTGTCTCATCCTATCCAAGAACAGGGCAAGTCTTTCCATTGTTCTTCTTTAGTGTCTTTTAAGAATGTTTAAAATTTTTCCTCATACAGATTTTATACATTTCCCATTAAATTTGTTCCTTAGCATTTTATCTTTTGTTGTTACCACTTCTCTACCCTTATCACATATGTTTATTGTTTATATATGTAAAGGCTATTGCATTTTGTATTTTAATATATCCTGCTACTTCACTGAATTCTTTTATTGCTTGAGTTAGTTTTTTCATTGGTTCTCTGAGGTTTTTCAGGTATAACATTGTATCATCTCTAAATAGAGATAGTTTTACTTCTTCACTCTTTCTGAGGCCTCCAATTGATTTATCTTGTCTAATTACATTGGCTAATAGCTCTAGTACAATGTGGAATAGTGGTGGAGAGAGTGGTCCTTCTTGCCTTGTTCCTAATCTTAGTGGAATACTTCCAGTGTTTCTTGATTAAATAAGATATAGCTATAGGACTATATTTTATCATGTTGAGGAAATAGTCCTCACTTCCTATTTCATTGAAAGCTTTTATCATGAATGGGTGGTGAATTTTGTTGAAGACTTTCTTGGCATCTCTATAGAAAATCATATGAGTTTCTTCTTACATTCATGAATATGGTGCATGCTTGTTATAGATTGAATTTTGTCCCCCAAAAGATGTGGAGATTGAATCCCAGTGCCCCAGAATGCAACCTTACCTGAAAATATGATCTTTACAGGGATGATCAAGTTAAAACAAGGTCCTTAGTGTGGACTCCAATCCAATATGACTGCTGTCCTTATAAAAAGGGGAAATTTGGATACAGATATTGACACACGCACACACACATGTGCACACACGCACACACAGAGGGAGAACACATGCGAATGTGAAGGTAGAGAGGAGATTGTTGCATCTACAAGCCAAGGAATGTCAAAGATTGCCAGCAAACCAGGAGAAAGTCATGGAACAGATTCTCCCTCACAGCCCTCAGAAGGACCCAACCCTGAAGACACCTTGAACTTGGACTTCTAGCATCCAGATTTGTGAGATAATAACTTTCTGCTGCTTAAGCTTTCCAGTTTGTGGTATTTTGTCATGGCAGCTCTAGCAAACTAATGCTATTAATGAATTTTTCAATGGTAAATCAACCTTGCATTCCTGGAATAAATCCCCCTTGATTTTTTTCATGGTTTTAAATAATATCCAGTATACTAACAAAATATTCAGTGTTTCAGAAAAGCATGGAATTAAGAGCACCTCAGAAGTCATTTGGTCTCCATACCACCATTTTCCATGATGTCTTTCTGCCCTGGAGTTCAATGTGACCCTCCTATCCTGAACTCCCAGGAGAATACTATTAGCAACCTCTCCCAACCTGAAAGTTCTGTGACTGACTCGACTCCTCTCCCTGAGATCCTGACTTCTTGTCTAGATGGGAATAGGGAATCCCGGTTAACATGGTTAACTGAATGTTTCACCCCAATACACCAGGCCTAGGAGCCTCTGATATGAGCCTCTCCCCATGCTAAGGGGTTTCATGTAGGGTTCTCAGACAAATAGCTCTGCAATTAGATGTGCTGGGATTTTGAAAACAAATTATTATTGTTATAACAGTTTCACCTGGGAAACTTGTACACTCAGGAGCAGTGAAGATAAGGGTTTTCTGGTCTGGAGCAGAGAAGACACGGTCTCAAGGGCTCTGGTGAGGGGGAGGGTATGACATTCTGCAGAACTGGGAAGGAGGTGAGTCAGCTCTGTGTGATAGAGGATTCTCCCAAGAGGAGTGGAAAGGGCTGCCCAGTGAATGAGCTCCCAGTTACAGGGGACACAAGCACTGGTTGGATCTCCAGTCAAGGAGCCTATAAAGTTGGCTCTTTCCTGGGGGAGGAGGAGGAGAAGGAGGGGAAGGGCATAAGAACAGAGTCAGGCAGGGTAAGCGTGAATCCCAGTTCTGCCGTTTCCTAATTGTGTGACCACAGCATCTTGGTGAGGCTCAGCTCTATCATCTGCAAAATGGGGCTGATACACGCTCCCGCAGAAGGTGGCTGTGAGACTAAATGGGAAAAGCACCTACACGGCAGGTGCCATAATGCCACTATTTGATGACTCAGTTTATGAAAACCAACCAGCAGGGTCTTGGGCATCACCAGTCCCAGCCCTTCCTTGTCAGGAGGCCAGGTTCCTCTTGGTTTCTCTGGAAAACCCTGCCCTCAACACACACCTACAAGAAGAGCAGGACCATGACGCCCCCCACCCCACCAGGCTGGGTGCCCTGGACATGCCACTGTTTCTCTCTCAGCCTCCTTCCTTATCTGTCAGAGATGGGCTCTGAGGTGAACCCTTCCAGTTCTAACACTCTGGGATGCCTGGACTTCTAACTAGCCATGTGTTCATGTCTCTGCCTTTGGGGACCTGGTGTCTTCACAAAATGATGGGATTGGGTTAGATGAAAATAGCACCAGCTAAGCCATGCTGAGCACTTACTCTGAGCCAGAGGCCACTCTAGGGGCTTTACATGGATCAGACCATTTAGTCCCTACAACAGCCCCATGGTGTGGGTGCTACTATACTGATTTTTTAGGTAAGATGACGGGGGCATAGAGAGGCTGAACACAGCCAATACAAGCCCAGACAGTGAGTCCAGGGTTCATGCTTGCAATCAGCACACGACACCCCTCTTGTGACTCTGACACTAAATATAAAAGGGGGCCTGAGTATTCTCTGAACTCCACTGTTCTTGTGGGCTGAGGCAGACATTTTCTTGGATGTGACCCCAGCTCCACCTCTCAACAGGTGGGAGTTGCCCAGCCTGGAGGCAATCTGCCTGATGTCCTACATGATGAGGCCTTATTGGGCCCTTTCACTGCCTGCACGTGATCATCACACACTTCCCCCAGAAACCCAGTTTACAGAGAGGAGAATGAAACTCTGAAAGGATAGAGGATAGGGGACTATGTGGATCGCACAGCACATAACTGGCTGAGTGAAGACTGGAGCCCAGAGCTGCCGGCTCCACCAAGTATCGACGTCTTCCCCAGAAGAAGGCTCACCCTCTGCCTCACAGGGAGGCCAAGACCACCACTAACGCCTGGAGAGAAAGCAGGAACTTAGGGCCACAGAAGAGGCACAAAAAATGGGGTGAGAATGCTGAAGAAGTGGGGTGGGGCTTCTTGGTGGAGGCACCAGCACCAGAGCTGAGGCCTGATATCAGGACCTGCTGCTGGGAGCAGGAAGGAAGAGCCTTTTAGACAGTGGCAGATCTGCACAAACAAGGTCTGGGGCAGGGGGTGGGCAGAGAGCCCTAAAGGGCCTGGAGAGGCTGCAGCCCAGTGCACTAGCAGTGGAATGGGGTGCGGGTGGGGTGTCAGGCTGGGGCACAATCTTGGAACATTATTCTGCGGGTGGCTGGTTATGGCTGCATATGTGATAGTCTTCCTTGGCCAGACAGAGGGCTAGAGCTACACCCAGGAGAGAAACATAGGATGCCTGGGACAGAGACTGTGAGATGGTGGCTGAGTAGTCTGAGTGACTGAAGGATTGATGTAATCATTAACGGAGACTGAGGAGAAAACGGGAGGGGAAGGTGAGTGTGCCTGAGGTTTTCCAGCTGCAGAGTGGGCTGACCCAGCTTGTCTGCCCTGATGCCCCAGAGAGGTGGATAGGAGGGCTGCTTGCCCTGAACCCCCACTGTGGGCCAGTACTGGTAATTCACAAACTTTCTCAGTCTTACTACCGAGCAGCCCTGCTTTGTCCTATCAGAGAACACCTAAATGCTTAATGTGGCCCTGAGGCCAGCTCTCCCCGTATGATAAGAGAAAGGCCCTCTTTGCTTCTCCATCCCAAACTGTGGGGATGGATAGGGACCTGGGGATGGGCAGGACATGGAGATGGGCAAGAGATGGGCACTCGCCTCTTCAAGTCCTTCTCCCAGATCCCTGCCTTGGCCCTTGCGGGGCTCACCGATGCATCCCCAAAGCTCCGCCGGCCTGCAAGCCTTCCTCGGGGCTTACACAGAACCCTCCCGCAAGCTGCCGCCTGGGCTCGGGCCCTGGGGGCCCCGGGAGATATTCCACAGCGGACGGGGTGAGGTTGGGAGGGAGGAAGGAAAAACGGGGACTTGATCGTGCAAGGAGGAGTCGGGGCAAGCGCGCAGCCACACGCTCCCCTCCTGCTTCCCAGCGGACACCGAGCGGCCGCCTCCCGGGCCGCTCGCCCCTCCAACGCGGCGCCAGTTCGCATGCGCAGCAATGCTGGCCCGCCCGCCCCTCTGGAGGCCACGCCTCAGTCCCCAAATGGGCGGAGGCCACGGGGCGGGGCGGGGAGCAGCCCCGGAGTCCGAGCTCGAGCCCCCGCCCCCGGTCAGCCCCAGCCGCTTCCCGGCCCGAGCCCGAGGCTGTTGCCCGGGGGCCTGTCCAGCCGCGGCTCCAGCGCCCTCGCGGTGCCCTGCGCCCACCGAGTCCCGCTCGACCCGCGGCGGCGCGGCAGGTAGGAGGCGCTGAGCAGAGGGAGGCGTGTGCGGGCGCGCAAGTGTTCGCGTGTGTGTTTCGAGGGTGCAGCGCGGGCCAGCGCGTGCCCTGCGAGCCCGAGTCCGTGTCGGGGTGCACATCCCGCAGGGAAGGAGGGGAGCGCAGGCTTGAGGCCGGAGGCGGGGCCCCGGGGCTCGTCGCCAACCCCCGACGCGCCCCGAGGGGCCTCGTCCGCCTCCGAGTGGGCGTTCCCCAGCCGGGTTTTCAGTTCAGACGCGCCGGGGCTTAGGCCCCCCACCCACCAGCCCCCGCCCCGGGCATGACCGACCCTTACCTTCCTCTGCCTCCCAATTCCCCTTTTCTGTTCCCCTCCCAGCCTTCCGCCCATTTAATTCCATGACCTCTCCTGGGTGCCCCCCATCCCTGGTCTCTGGAGGCTTGGGAAAGGCGGCAAGGCCTTCTGACCCTCCTGCCAGGTTGAATAGGGGCCTTTTTCCTGGGCTGCAGGGCCGTGGGTGGGTGTTGGGGCCCAGGGGTTGTGCGGGAGGGATGGTTGGAAGATCTGGAAGAGAATGATCTTGGGCTTCTCTGATCTTGTCTGTGTCCTGCAGAGTTGGGGGTCTGGGGAGGTCGGCCTGGGATCTAGAGGTGAAGTAGGACAGATCATTAACAGGTGCCATGTTCTCTCCAAGCTTCATTTCATGTGGTGGGATTCAGCCCCAGACCTCACAGGAAGGAGGAGTGGGGCACAGAGGGTGAAGTGAGCTATGCTCTCAGGGCCTGTAAGCCAGAATTTGATCGTGGGTGGGCTTGGTTCTCAAGCCAGAATCTTTTCCCTGTACCAGCCTTAGAGAGATAAGTGCCGAGGGCAACTAATCCTGGGATACTAGGGAGGGAGAAATCTGGGCGGACTTCCTGAATGAGAAGGTTTTGAGGGCAGGGCTCGGCCAGTTCCAGGATTATGAAACTTCCTGGAGGAACGACTGTGTTCTGCTGTTAGGATTGAGACCTCCCAGGGTCTTTGGGCCTAGTCCTTGCTAGAGCCCTTGGGTGGGGATAGGGAGGCCTGGCTGCTTTCAACCCAGCTGAAATGGGAACACCACTGGGATGGAGAGTCAGGGGGAAGTCAATGGGTTGGACACGGTGGCTGTGAGAGGTCTCTGGACTTTTGAGGGCAGCATCTAGGGTAATGCTCCCAGGCCTGTGCTCTCTGGCTGCTTCTGGCCCTGCCTTCCCCTCAGACTCTCAGGATATCCCTGAAACCTGGGTACCCGAAGGGGTGGAGCTCCTGGAGTCGCAGTGGGCACAGGGAACCCTCTCTGCACAACCCCTCCACCAGCAGGGCTTGTCTTTGTGTCAGTGCTTCTTCTGCGCTGAGACCGGCTCTGCACATGACCTTGAGACAGGAAACTTACCCTGTAAGTCTCAGTTTCCCCAGGTGTGAGACAGGGAGAAATGCTGCATAATCACAGGGACTTGGGGAATGATGATGATTTAGGTAGATCATATCGCTAAAAGTGTTAGTTACCAAGTACCTGGTATTTGGTAGCCATTATAATTAACAGTTGGCATCACTCAGTCCCTTCCTCCCTCAGGGAGGTAGTCCAGAGGAAGAAGGGGCCAATTTAGGGAAAAGAAGGAAGGATGAGAGGAAATGGGGTCCCTCCCTTGAAGTCCTGTGGGTGAACCTGTGGCCCTCAGACCCCTTATATGGGTGTCCCACTATCAGCCTGGCCAAGTCCCTGGGCCTCCCAAAGACTCCTTTACCCTAAAGGTCATACAAAAAGCTCACCAGTGGGCCCCTCAGCAACTTCCACCCCATGCAGGTCCCCAGCCACCTTGGGGCCTGGACAGACAGATGTGGAAGTCTGTCTGCAACTGGTCTTCTCAACTCATCCCCCTGCCTCTGTCCCCATGTCCTCAAATGTTTTGAGTGCCTTTAGAGCCCTCTCCTCTTTACCCTACAAGCCCCTCCAGAGACCTCTTTTGCCCCTTCATGCCTTGCCCTTCCTGCTGAAAACATTCCTTGGCTGGCAGGGTATCCCCCCCAGGCCTTGCCTTCGAGGCCCCCCACCTCTGCAACTTCTCCTCCTTCCTGGGTTGATGGTGACGCCCTGGGATTGCCTCACATCACGTAGGCCGAGCTGCTGAGTTCCTTTGGCCTCAGGCCCTGCCTTTCCCTGCTCACTTAAGGCAAAGTGGGCTAAGTCCCTTTGGGGTTCTAATCCAGGATGTTTTAGGAAGCCAGCCCTTAGGCTTGGACAAAGGAAGTGGAAATGGGAGCATTTGGTAGCTGTAGTGTCCTGAGTTAGTTTCCCATTCTATTTGTTCAGAGATGTGTTTCCAGGGGCCCCCAGCTTTCCTGGGGCTGGGGGTGTGAGGGTGCCAGTGTCTGTGGTGGCCTGTGAGTGTGGGCTATGGTTTTCTGTCACTACAGGACATGTGGTCACCTGTGGGAAAAGGGGCTGGAGGCCAGAACAGACAAAGCTCATCCGTTGGTACCAACTGATTATCCCCGTCAGGCTGGGCCCAGGGGATGGCCTCAGAATTTTGTGGCCTGGGGGACAAATATAGACGGACCACTTGGCCTGATCTACCTGGCCCTGCCCAGCCAGCCCCTGCCCCAGTGCCCCCTCTGCTGTGTAACTTCTGCCAGTCAGGGTGTGTGGGACCCAATAATAACAATAAGAAAGACACTGCCATTTGGGGCAACTTTGTTTTAGGTTGGAGCAGTTCAGGGAATGACAGCTTCATCCCCACTCACTTCCTTAAGCAGGAGAGAGGTGGGAGGCCACATGCCCGCTCACACTGTTCTTCAGGCTTCCTTTTCTATTGCTGATGTAACAAGTTAACACAAACTTAGTGGTTTGAAACAACACCAGCTTATTCTCTGTACCTTTTGGGAGGTCAGTAGTCTAAAATGAGTCTTGGGGCTAAGCTTAAGGTGTTGGCCAGTTGGCTCCTTCTGGACGCTCCAGAGGAGAATCTTGTCCTTGTCTGGCCCAGCTTCCAGGGGCAACCAGTATTCCTTGTGACCTTGTCACCCCAACCTTTACTTCCCTTGTCATGTTGTTTTTTCCTCTTTTGAAGTCAAATCTCCCTTGGCCTCCCTGTTATAAGGGCAACTGTGATTACATTTAGGGCCCACCTGGATGATCCAGGACAATCTCCCCATCTCAAGATTCTTAATCACATCGATGAAGTGTCTTTTGCATTAAAGGTAACTTTCTCGGGTTCCAGGGATTAATATGCTAATATTGGGGGGCCATTATTCAGTCTGCGCCCAAACCAACTGCAGTGTCATTTCAGGCACCACTCTCAGAGTTCCCCTACTCCCCCCACCCATCCACATGCCCACAGCTCCCCCATGAGGTTGCCCACAGAGCTGCTCCCTCTGCCCCTACCCTGCCCCCAGCCTAGGAGCCTTTGCAGGCACAGCCTGGGCCTGGTGCATTTAGTTTTGTATTGGACCAGTTCCAGAAGTAGTCACTTCATCCTTCCTCCTTCCTTGAGCAGGAGAGCCCAGCCTGAGACCAGGGTGGCCAGAGCTCAGGGGTGCTGGGAAGAGGAGAATGTGCCAGCATGTCCTCAGGGGTGACCCCAGTGACCAGACCCCATCCTGCACCTGATGGGATGTTAGGCCTTTCACGGTTTGAGTCTTACTCATTTCAGACATTCATTCAAAAAGCCCAGTGCTGTGCAGGGTCACTTGATCCCCACCACTCCCTGGGAGGGCTGGGGCTGGGCTGCCAGCCCCATTTTGCAGATGAATATAGCAAGGCTGGTTGAGGCTGAGTCCTGCCTAGAGCAGTGATGTGTGAGGGGAGCAGGGGTGGGGCCCAGGTTGGGCCAGTAGAGTAGAAGAAGGTCATGTTACAGCTGAGAACTCCGAGTCACATGGAAGGGAACTGTTTTGCCTTTCTCTGGGCCTCAGTCTTCCCATCGAGGAGGAGGGTGTGGATGGGGCATTCTGAGGCTCTGATTCCCCGGATGCCTTGGCCCAGGAGGAGGAGGCATGGCATTCCAGGCTGCCATGGGCAGGAACAGGACATGGTACAGAGCGGTGTGCCATAGAGTCTGGAAGGGCTCCAACATACCTCTTGCCCAGAGACATGGTTGTCACCCGAGAAGGTGGTGTGGCCTCCAAGGAAGAACCCCCAGCCAAACCCCTGGGGAGCCCCTGGCCTGCGTGCTGCGGACCCTGCCCCAGGGTGGGGCCCCATTTCATCCCCACAGCCAGGGCCATGCCACGTGGGCCCTGCTTCTCTCTCAGGGGCCATTTCTACAGTCTGGTCTCTGCCTGCACCGACCCTCTTGGGCATCACCCAGCTCAGACCCCAGTGCCCTCCTGCGTCCTCAGACTGGCTCTCCGGACTGCCATGACCCAGCCGTGCAGTGTCCCCTGCTGGCCTCGCCTTCCTCTTCCCCCTCCCCTGCACCCTGTCCTGAAGCCTTGCCTAAGAGGTTTCTTGTCCCAGGATGTTCCGTCCTCCTTCTAACTCTGCTCCATCTCTTGACATCACGGTTTGCCCTTCCCTTTGAGATCTTGCTTAGATCCACCTTCTCCACGAGCCTTCCGTGCCCCATCACAGCTCCTGGGGAGCCGATCTCTCAGCCTGGTACCGGGCAGCTGTCTCTCCCCACCAGGCTGACTCCTGGGCAGAGCCCTGTCTTACTCCTCGCTGCCCCCTTGGTCAGGTTCCCAGGCGGTGTGCGGGAAGGTTGGATGAGGGGGCACACACTGAGTGGGACTCTCAGGGGCCGAGTGGGTCACTGTCTTTGCTTGGGGGAGGAGGTGATGGGCCAGGCAGAGCACGGCTGTGACTTGAGACAGGCTCCTGGCTCTGTCCTGAACGCTCTCAGCCCTTAGTCCTCATGTGTGACAAGAACAGTATAGCTCATTTCTGAGGTTGTGCAGGAGTATGACCTAAGAATCAAGTCTATGTTTCCCAGTCTGAGAAATGGGCACCTTCTCACCAGGTTTCCAACCTTGAGGCAGGTGGTGCAAGGAGAAGACTGTCCAGGCAAGAAGTGGGAAAAGAGGCTGTCCTGGTAACAGCCCAGCAGATGGGAAGAGAGCAAGAAGTGCCCAGCTCCCCCCCATTCAAAGGTGAGAACCTGAAGGCCTGGGAGAGCAGGGCTTTCCTGGGGTAACACAGAGCAGTGGGGCTGAGGGGGCTACAGTGCCCTGATCAAGTCTCATTGTATCTGGTCGTTTCCCCTGTGTGGAGGGAGCAGCAGCTGTGACCTGCGGCTCCAGGTGTCACCACCCCCACCAGCAGGAGAGAGCCCCCGCGGGGGGCACTCAGTTGTGTCTGCCCCTCCCTTAGCACCTTGGCAGAGCACTGTGCTGGGCTGGGAGACCTGAGGTGGGGTGTGCGACTGCCCGGGCTTTCCGGAACGCACAACTTTCAGGGCCTAAACCGGGGGAGCCATTGACCCAGCCTGGGTTTCCTTTGGCCCGCCCCCGCCCAGGGAAGCCTCCTCCTCCAGGTGTGGGGCCAGGCTCCCAGCTGCTTACTCGTCCACGGCCCAGGAAACACCAGGATGCACCTTTTGGGGGTTCCTCTCTGAGGTGCACCTGCTCCCTGAGGCTTCCCAGCCCCCTCCTCACCCTGTGGTGGGACCCAGTCCCAGTGAGGAACAGCTGTAGGGCAGAGGCCTTGGGACCCACCCAAGGCCACACAGCAAGGCAGCCCTGAAGCTGGCTGTTCCCCAGATACACTTCCAGAAGGCCATCAGCACCCAAGGACCAGCAAGAGGGCCCGCGCCCAAACACACCTGGCCCGGCTGTCCAGGTCCCCTGCGACTTTTCCCCAAACTTGGAAAGATTGCTCTGCAGCTGGGTGGAGACTGGACTGGACACAGAAACAATAAAGGGAAGAAAGACAGGATTTCCCAGCCCTGGTGTCAGCCTGCCCAACGTTGACTAGAGTGATTCACTGGGCCTGACCCCCGGTGTGCTGCTGGGGTCCAGAACCCCACCGCTGCAGCCCGGCTCTCCCTCTTCACACCTCTCCTCCCCTCCCTCACCTGCCATCCAGTCCTCAGGACACAGTGCATGGGACACTGGCCCTGGGAGGCTGAAATGCACCCACTAGGATGGAGAGATACGCATTGAGCATGTCTGCAGTGATGGCGAGGGAATGGGAGTGGGGTACCGGGTAAAAGGGAATGGCCACGTGGACAAAACCGAGCCTCAGTCACCCAACTCTGGCTCTGCCTTTCCCAGGACCCTCCGTGGTATCTGGCCTACCCTCATCCTGACTGTCTCCTGCCCTGGTCGCTGCCCCAGCCCTTTTTCAGCATCTGACCCTCTTGTCTCCCCCCTCGACCTTGCCCCTCCTTCCCTGCACCCTCGTAAGAGCCAAGCCCCGCAGCCTGGCACCCAGCCCTGAAGAGCTGGTTCGGCCAGCTTTCCCACTCGGAGCTCAGCTCGGTGCCCTGCCTCCCCAGGGTTCCTCCGGGCTCTTCCTCCTTCCCTCCACCTGCAGTGCATCCTGCCCGCTCTACCCCGCCCCTTCCTGCCCAGCCTTCAGGCCTTGCTCTGCTTCCATCTTGAAGAGACAACACCATCCCTCCCACACTGTATGTGGCCTACCTGCAGCATGCCGCATTCCATTCTGCGGCCCTCCTCTCTGGGGCCACCTTGAGGGTCTGACCTGCTCCTTGTCAGCCCGGGGCTAGCCCAGAATGGGTGTTAGTGAAGAGCTGCACCTTGGAATTGGCTGTGTCCCCTGAATTATGACACAGCTGTTCGCCTTCCCTGACCATGTGGCAAAGGAGAGGGGCTCTTTTGCCTGGAATGGGGTGTCATGGGAGGCCTGTGTGAGGGAGGTGGGGAGCTCTGGTGACCAGGCTGTGGGTGTAAGGCATCACTGGCTCTTTGGCAGGCCCTGGAGGATGCCCACTGGTGACTGTGCTGCACTTTGGACACTCGCTGTGGGGTTGGGGTATTGGGGCACAGATGAGAGACCCCCCTGGCCTTTCTGTGCTCTCCCTTCTACCCCCACAGTCGGCTGGTCACCAAGTACAGCTGTCTTCCTCGCAAGCAGCTCTGGAACCTGTCTGACTCCATTTGCGCATGAGCCTGCCAGTTCAATTTCTGTGGTCTTCCTTCTGGTTTTTCTGCTCTGGTCTTGTCCTTTTCTAGTGCATTCTCCATGTGACACCTAGATGGATCTCAAGTCCCTCCCCTGCTCAGCAGCCTCCCCTTGCTCTCCACCCCCTCAGGGTGAAGCCCCACCCCTGAGCCTGGGTCCTGGGGAGCCTCACCTGTGACCCACCCCCCGACTCCTGCTGCCACTCTGTGTCAGCTCAGTTCCTTCCCCTGAGCACCAGGCTGAGGATTTCTCCTGGGTTGGTCCCTGGCTGGCTGGTACCACCTTCTTAGATAGAGAGGAGTCCTTGAGATATGTCCTGATGGGGGTGTGGAGGTACCACCCTCGCCTTGTGGGACCCTCTTGGATTTGAGCACTCTTAGTGCCAAGCCAAGTGTTCTGAGAGATGGAGCAGGGAGCTCGCAGAAGGGCACCCAACCTGTGCGGGACAAAGCCAGGCCAAGACTGGTGCCCTGACCCAGCCCAGAACTCCTTCCAGTCCCCACCTTGGAGGTCGTCCTAACCTGGGCTCCAGGCAGGACCCTCCAGGTGTACAGTGACCAGCCCATCAGGGTCACTAGATTCAGCCAACCCTCCCTCCCAGGGCCCTGCCCTGCTTATATTGTTTAACACTTCATGAAAGTATAACTGACCTGCAGAACAATACATGAATCATAGGCATGCAGCTCCGTGACCACACCCACAAAGCCACCACCCTGGTCAGACCCCCAGAAGCCCCTTCCAGTCATGACCTCAAGGTAGCCAATATCCTGCCTTCCATTTTCCATAGAGGGGTTATGCCTGCTTGTCAGTTTTATATAAATGGAACCGCTGTATGGCTTCTCTTGCTTAATACTATGCTTGTGAGATCCATCGATGGAGTTGTGTGCAATAATTTGTTCATTCTCATTACTGAATAATATTCCATCACAAAAATGTATTTATCCTTTGCTGATGGACATTTGGATTACCAGTAAATTTTAGCTATAACATATACTAACTGTGATAAACGTTCTTGTGCATGTTTTCTGGTGACTGTGTGCATGCATTTCTGTTCAGCAGATACTTAGGAGTAGATTCCTGAATGATAGAGTATGGGTTTGTTCAGCTTTAATAGATATGGTCAAGTGGTTTGGGAAAGTGGTCGCACCAGTTTACACTCCCACCACCAGCGCAGAAGAGCTGTAATTGGGAGCGAGTGTGTGTGTATGTGGTGTTTTCACTGTGGCCATTCTGGTGGGGGTGCAGTGGGATCTCATTGTGGTTTTAATTTGCACTTCCTTGATGATTAGTGAGGTTGAGCACCTTTTCTTCCAGTTTATTGGCCATTTGGATATGCTTTGTTTCTTATGTTTTCTTCAGAGCTTTTTTGTTTTACCTTTGGGTTAGATTTGTAATTTCTGCAAGTTGTTGTTTGGGTAGAGTGGAAGGAAGGGGTCAAGATGCACCTGTTCCCACGTGGATAGCTGACCGAGCACCGTTCATTGAAGAGACTGACCTTTTCCCAATGCACTGCCATGTCACCTTGGTCATAACTCAGGTGTCCTGCGGCTTGGGGCCTCATTCGGGACTGTCTCTGCTCCAATGCTCTGTTTTCCTACCCCATGCCAGTACCACGCCATCTCAATTGCTAGAGCTTTAGGACAGGTCTCCTTAGCTGCCAGTGTGAATCCTCCAGCTTGCTCCTCTTCAGCCAGCCTTGGCTGTTGGCCCTCTGTGTTGCCTGGAATGGGGTGTCATGGGAGGCCTGCATGGGAGACCAGCTCCTTCACCCCCTCTAAGGAGAGCCCAGGGCTCAAAGAGGTAGGCTGACTTGTCACCTGCCACGCCGCTCTGAAACGCTGTCTCTGTGTCTTCCTAGGAGACACCTGCCCTCCATGGCTTGGTGTTAATGCTGAGGCTCCTCCCCACGCCCCTGGGGATGCTATAATTGTCTTTAAGTCAACTTTCTCTTTCCTTAATATTTCTTAAAGGAAACTGTGTGTCAACTGTAAATGGAAAGTCAGCATTACTCTCCATGATACGAGGTAACTGGAAGAGTCTTAACAATAAAATAAAAACAATAACAAAATCCACTCCGTTCCAGCCAGGTGTTGTTGCTCTGAGCCCGAGGCCTGCTCCTCCTTTGTTACGTAGAAGGGCAAAATCCATGAGGGATGAAATACATGCTGGACCAAATCGAGTTCTCTTTGAGAGAGAAATGGACAGGGAATAACTTTCTTACTGACTTCCTATTGCCACACCAGAGTACCCCTTAAAAAGATCACAGTTAACCCAGAACCCTGCTTTGGGAAGCCCTGGTGTGATATGCCATCTGGAAGCTGGGACCCAGCTAACAGGCCGCAGATTTTGGACACATTCCTTGGTGTTCTCATCTGCAAAATGGAACTAAAATGCTCCTGTTTCTCCCTTGCTGCAGTGTCTGCAACGTCCAGGGAAGGCTCAGTGGTGTCAGCCCCCTCCTGCAGCTGCCTCAGTGTGACCTGCTGCAAGATGAGCCCTAACCCTGTGCATAGCTAGCCTGTCCCTACCACATCCAACAGGCCCAGAGAACAGCAGACTAGGCCATGGCCTCCCGGAAGCGGGTGCACACTATGTCCAAGCTGCGGACAGAGACTCCCATAGGGCAGGCCCAGGGCCGTGCAACTTCCTCTGCTGCCTTAGAGGCTAACCAGGTAGGGCTGATAGACAGCAGCTCAGAGGGCTTAAGGACTTGCCCAAGGATACACAGTGCCAAATGTCACAGCTCACACTTGAACTCAAGTCTGACCAACCTGCTGGAAGTCTGTTTCTCCGAGCTTCCTGGTGAGCACACCGAGCAGGTCAGTGTCCCCATGCTCAGTCCACGGGCCCTTCTGTGCTAGGCTGGGTCTGATTCACCTCACTCTTTCCTGCAGCCAAGCCATTTCACGAGCTGTTTTATGTGTCTGGAATGTCCTTTCTTTCCTAAAGGACAGATGGCTTCTGGGGCCAGGCCTTGGTGAAGCCTTCCTTGTGTCTCTCTTGCTGGAACCTCTGAAATGACACGTATTCCATTCTGCCTTGTATTTGTTGACCGCATTAGACCATGTAGTTCCTTCACAGGAACCCTAAATTGTTATAACCCTCCTGGCAGTGGTCTGGAAACATTGTAGATGAGCCCCTGATGTCAGTATTGACCTCCCTCAGGAGCAAAGTGTGTTACAATATACAGTTCTCTTCCATGGGCAGGGTGTCATTGCATCCTCCCAGAAGCCCTGGCACATTATCTCTTCCTTCCAGACAAGGACCATGCAAACCAGGGAGGTGACATGGCCTGTCCAGGGATACACAGCTTAGAGGGACATTGGAGAACTACAGCCAAGGCTCTGTCAGGAACTGGAGGTCTGGACTGCAACAGAGAGTGCCAGGGTGACAGCTGTGACTCCCCCTGGACAACTGGTGTGGATACCAGCTGGCACCCAGCCATCAAGAGTGGGAGGGAAGGAGAGAGCAGGGCCTGGTCTAGTGGGAAGGGGCAGGCCTTGGCCTTCAGGAGGCTCGGTGGCTGTGTGCAGCTCTGACATGAAAAGCTGATCCCTCTTGGGGGTCTCAGCCACTCTTTGGGCCTCTTTCCCATCCTTGAAGGAATTCCTCCTGCATCATCTGTGTTGCAGATTCAACATAAATGTCATTCAACATAAATTTACTGAATCCACCCCCTGGTGTTGGACCCTGGGAATACAGAGAGGAGCTGGACATGGGCCCTGCCGTGGAGGAGCATAGGCTGGGCTGGGGGGATGGACAAGTCACAGGGCAACAGGTGCTTCACAGGGGTTCCAGGACAGTGGAGGTGGAGGGAAGAGCAATGTCAGAGGCAGGCGGCAGGTACTTGGGCCAAGTCTTACGGTGAACAGGAGTTTTCTAGGTATGCACATGTGCAAGGGACAGTGTTTGCAAAGGGCCTGGGGAAGCAGCTTTAGGGAGCTGCAAGGTGCAGGTAGTGCTGGAACTTAGGCCCCGGTTGGAAAATGGCAGGGCAGAGGGAGGAAGGCAGGCTGAAGAGCAGCTGGGAAGCTTGGACTGTCCTGTTAGTGCCTGGCTCAAGCACCACATAAAACTTTCAAAAGATGGGAAATGCCATGGCCCCAAGCTCAGGCCCAGAGAGCAGAGGCCCAGGTTTGGAAGTGGCTTTCCTGCTCTGGGCTTATCGGTGGCCTTCCGTGGTGATGCTTGTAGCTATATGGAGAGAGCTCAGAAGCTGGTGACTCTGTGACCCCATGGGGGTGTTGACCCAGTGGGTGGAGTGGGAGGTAACCTTGGCACAGGTGGAGGATACAGGAGGACAGTCAGCAGAGGGTGCAGCTTGGGCAAAGGCCAGGGCCAGAGGAGCCTGACCAAAGAAGGCCAGGGCGGCCTTGCTGCCAGCCATGAGGCTGGTGAGGTGGCTGAGTGGGTCAGACCCTCAGCCAGGCCTGGCCCTGTTCTACTGGGCCCAGCTGGGTGCTCCCCTGTCCACCTCACCTCCCTTCTGTCCTCCCTGGAAGCAAACCCTCCCAGCAGGCTGGCCTGGAGGGCTGCCAGGACCCCCATTCTCCACCAGCCTGCTGTGTGACCTCAGCAACTTACTCCCCCTCTGAACACTGGAGTTGCTAGAGCTGATTTCTGCGCTTCTGCTCTCAGCTTTTTTGATCTAATTCTTACAGCTTAAATTGCTTCCTGAGCAGGCCCTACTGGAAAGGAAACTGTGATGCTAATGACTCTCCTGGGTGGTTGTGTGCCAGGATCTCAGGGGCCTTCCATTTCTTTTTCCTTCAGGCTGGGAGGGTGGGTGGGAAGGCACAGCATTATTGTACCTTCTGGGCAAAGCAATGGTCAGAGAGGTTAAGTGGTTGAGTGGAGGTTGCAGGTTGCACAGCAGCTGAGCAGACAGCCTGGTATGGATGTGGAGGCAGAAGGTGAAGTGGCTCTGTGTCCTCGGCAGGCAGGGACCCCCAGCCAACTCTGCTCTCCCTGCTGTGCGTCCATGTTCCACACTCGCTGCCCAGTCTCACCTCCTTCCCTTCCTGCTTCTCCCTCCCAGTTGAATCCACTCATCTTGCCCTTCTTATGGAGCTCACTCTGCTGGGGTAAGTGTAGGGTGAACCCCTGGCATCTGGCCCTTCCTGTGGCGCTGCAGGGTCATCAGGCCAAGGTGGAGGCACCAACGTCCGAGGATGCAGGTTCAAGTCCAGACTCGGATGTGAAATTTGGGCAGGCCCCTCCCCTCACCGAGTCTCAATTCTCATTTTCTGAAAAATGGCAGCAATGAAAGGCCTGCCCAGCACTGTTTGCAAATACCATACCCAAATCTCTAGCCAGGTGGGTTGCCCACACCAGGTGCCAGGGAAATGGAAGTTCTGTTGGGAATAAGAGGTGGCTTGTCTATTTCTCTTCTCATTCCTTTTCCCTCTGGCCTGATAAACAGGCTTCTTAGCCTTTGGTTAATCATAATGGCATCTTCCAGTTATTGAAGCAACATTGTTCCCATTGTAGAGATGAGAAAATGGGGATTCAGACAGGCTGAGTGACTTGTTCAAGGCCACAGAGCAGGTGAGTGGTACAGCTGGGACTGGCACCCATATCAGTCTTGTCTCAACTCATGTTGGCCCTTGAAGTCAGCCTGCCTGGCCTCAGCCGGCTGGGGAGGTGGGGCTGTGCCTCAGCAGGGCTGCAGTGCCACTCTGGACGGGTCCCAGGGTGAGTAGACTTGGGAGTGGGAGCTCTGCCAGCAGCCCAGATGGGGTCTGAGATATGGGGCCTGGCAGTCTGGTGCCTGGCCATCCAAGCGTGTGTCAGGCCCCACCGGCTACTGCTCCCACCCTGCCCTCCCTCTTGGAGGCGGTCTCTGGCTGTGTTAGTCCATTGCATTTGGTCAGCACATGGCTACAGGTGGAGGGTGTTGAACTGGCCTACCTGGACCCTTGAGTGCTAAAAAAAGTGGGTGCTGATGTGTACAGCTGCCTTCTGTGTCAGGGCTGCATGTGCAGGAGGAACTAACCATGTGGGCCCTGCTCTCTGGGCTTCTGGTCTAATGGGTTGTGTGTGGTTCTGCTCCCTGTGAGGGGGATCCTGGAGAGTGTTCAGGTTTGGCCTATAGCCTGTGGGGGCCCAGAAGAGGGGCCCAGGCTGAACACAGGGATATGGGGCATCAGCTGGGGGAATGAGCAGACCCCAGGAGGCCCCAGAGGCGAAGGGGAGGTCAGAGATGGGGGAAGGGTCAGGACCAGTGCCAGACGGCCCTGAAGCCCAGGGAGGGAGGCTGTTCAGAAGGGTGAGGCTCTGTGAAGCCTGGGAGGCCATCATGGAGTGTCTGCTTTGGGAAGTGGGAGGTCACAGGGCAGGGGCTGGGCCTTCCCGGGTTGGTTAGGTCACCGGGGTCAAGGAGCGCAGTGAAGGCACCTCTCTGCGCTGGAGTCACTTGCTCCAGAAGCGCAGTGAGGAAGGCAGCATGCAGGAGGGAAGGGGTGCGGAGGAGGATGGCTGGCCGGGGGCTTCGCCCCAGTCAGGGCTGCTCCACACAGGCCAGAATGTGCCCCCGAGATCAGGGGCCAGAGACCTGGGGACAGTACTGCTTTCCTGTGGGTGTGGCACCAGCCAGGGAGCTGCGGGGTCCCCCGCTCATCTGACTCAGCATGGGGACGTCTAGGGAGGGCTAGTCAAACAAAGGAAGGGAATGGGTGGATGTGGCCAGGCAACCCTGAGCACCCATTGCGGTTTTGACCTCGGCCCATTGGCCTTCAGACCTGGCGTCACCTCTGAGCATCAGAAATGAGAGAATTCAGGTTGTGGAGGCAGGCCAGTCAGCTCCTGTTCCTGCTCTGTGTGTACCAGCCCTGTGACCTTGGGCAGGTCTCTCAAGGTCTCTGAGCCCTGACTCCTGGCCTGGGGATAAGGATGCCCCTTCACGGGGCTGTAGGGAGGGGCATGCAAGTATCACCTACATCAGCATGTCGCAGGTCTCCCGGTCCTCAGTAAGTGATCTCATGCCTTCATGTCCCCCAGGTGCTCCAGGAGCCGCCCACATACCCACCCAGCTCTCCACTGCCTTGTCTCGGCCTCCCCTCCTGGCAGCGGCCGCCATGTTCTCGTGCGTGAAGCCCTACGAGGACCAGAACTACTCAGCCCTGAAGCGGGCCTGTCTACGCAGGAAGGTGCTGTTCGAGGACCCCAACTTCCCAGCCACGGACGACTCTCTGTACTATAAAGGCGCCCCAGGGCCCACCGTTAGGTGGAAGCGGCCCAAGGTCAGTGTCTGTTCGGACCCAGCCAAAGACAAGCAGGCCCAGACCTACCCAGTCTGTAGGGGACAGGGAGGTGGCCGGGAGGGGTCATCCTGTGGCCCCAGGTGGCCGAGAAAGTAGAGGGGCTGACACTGGGCTCCCCGCTGTGGTCTTTCATCTAGACAGGGAGCAGGAGAACAGGCCCTAATCCCATGACCACCTCATCCCCCCTCTGGGCCTCAGCCTCCTCCCAGGGGAAGTGGGGCCTTCCGACTTGCCACCCTCCTCCCAGAGTCATTTTTGGAATAAAATTAAGGTGATATGGATGTGACCTTTTTTTAGTAAAAGGTAGAGTGACATTCAAGTGTAAGGAATTTACTTTGCTGATTATTATCGTAATGTTTTGAGATAGTCCTTTACTGTAAAATGAAAAGTACTTATTATGATGATTAATCATTAATGTTAATAGCACTAAAATATGGTACCTCATAGGTTGGCTGTGAGCATTGAAAGAGATAGTGCATGAAGAGGTCTGGCACCAAGCCTGGCTCCAGGACAGGCAGCTATGACCATTCTTGTTGGGAATGGTGAACTATGAGGCATCTGTTTGGCTGCTGCCCTGTCCTGCCTCAGTCGCTGAGGTTAGAATGTGTTGAACATAACTGTTTGGCATCCTGACATTTCATGCTCTTTAACCCGGTTCTCTGAATGTGAGAGTGGGTGCCTCTGGGGGTCCGAGGAACAGGAGGCTGCTGAAGGCCACCGCCCCAGGTCCATGAGAGCAGGTCACACAGGAGGGACTTCGGTGCGGGAGACAGAGCGGTACCGAGGGGCCCAAGCTCCCACAGCCCAGTAATCGAAGAAGGCAGGCATCTCAGAAGGCCCAGCGTGAGGAGGCTTGGAGGCCGGTGTCAGACTTACTCGCAGCAGATGAGATGCGTGGAGGGAGCCGCAGGAGGGGAAGCCTGGTGTGCCCTGAGGAGGCGGGAGCTGCCCTGGGTGAGGCTTCCAGCAGGGTGTGGCGGTCGGACTTGCTGAGGTACCCCCCTGGACACTTCGGGGCTGATGGGGATTTGATCAGTCCCTGGACATTTTGGGAAAAGGAAATTTAGTTTTCGTGTTCCTCTCCTAGGCTATGATCTCAAGGCCCTAAAACTTGTAAAATCCTATATATTTTCTTGGACTGTGATACCTGAGAGGTAGAGAAACTGAGGCCCCGGGGGAAGGCAGTGTGCTGAACTGCCCAGTGAGCTGGTAGTGGAGCCAGACTGGGACCCAGGAGTCCTACATCCCAGTCCAGTACCCTGCTTCCCGTGGTCCACCTTCCTGACATTAACAAAGGGTCCCTGGTGCCTTTGACCTCAGCCCCATGAGCTGCCCTAGAATCTCTGACCCCTGCTTTGGTTGTCCAGAACTCCCAGGAGCCTCCTGGCCTGGCCACGAGGTTCCTGGCCCTTGAGGCCCGCCCCTTCCCCCACCGTCCCACGCCTTCCCCCCTCTCCTCTGTCTGGTGGGTGAGGAAGGGGGCCAGCCTCAAAGGGCCTTTGTGAGGCCTTGGCTGTGGGGTGGAGCAGGGAGACGCTCCAGCTCTGTGCCCTCCTCTCCACCCCCTTGCTGCCCCTGTTCTGACCCTCTCCTGCCCTTTGGCCATCACCCTGGCATGTTAGATCCATGGCTCTGGAGGGAGGCTGGGAGGCACGGCTGGGAGGGTTGGGTTCGGCATGGTGAGAGGAGGAAATGCCAGGCTGACTGGGCTCAGCATCCCCCTGCTGTGTGACCCTGGCAGAGCTTCCTGCCCTCTCTGGGCCCCTTCCCTGCCAGTTGGCAGTGCCAGGGACAGACAGTGTGTGGAGGGTGGTGTTGAGGGAGACATCTGAGTGGGGCACGGGCAGCAGTGGGGAAGACAGGTCCAGCTGGCACAGCTGAGGGGTGTGGGATGAGGCGAGACCTTGTGGCCCGGGGTGTGAGGGATGGTCAGTGTGTGCGTAGGGCCTGCTGGGTGGTGACGGGGCTGGTGTGACCTGCAGGCCCTCACCCCACTGACTGGATGGGGCTTGGTGGAGCAGGAAGTCAGGCTGCACTGCCCCAGGCGGGCGGGGTGGGGCCAGCGGGTGACCATTAACTCCCAGCCCCTGGCCACCAGTGAGATGGAACTTTGGCCTGAGGCGGCGTGTTCTCTGCAGAGTCCTACTTCCTGGGTCCTGTGACCTGACTGTCCCCAAATAGAGCAAAAAGCTGCCCAAGGGAAGCCCTTCTCTCCCAGCCCACCTCCGGCAACTTCTCTTTAATTGGTCAGTGTCCTGGCTCTGTTCTTGGAGGATCTCCTCAGTCAACCTCCCTGCCTGCTGGCCTCCCTCTTCCTTTCTCCCAAAATGGAATGAGGGGGCTGTTTTTGAGCCAAGATGGACTTGGCCCTGCCCTAAGGAGATGTGACCTTGAACAAGTCCCTTCCCCTCGCTGGGCCTCAGTAACCTCCTCTGTAAGTGGGAAGAGAAGTTTTGTTGGTCACAGTTTCTGGAGGTTAAAATGCCTTGAGGTATCGCTGGTGTCAGGCACATGGGGGGCAGATGTCAGACTGGCTCCCCTCTCCTGCCCACCTGCTCCTTCCCAGCCCTGTGCTGGGGACCCAGAGCAGGCCCTGCCTGGGAAATAGTTCCACCTCTCCTGGACCCTTCAGATGGGGCCAGGCCTTGCCACTTCAGTCCCCACCGAGGGCACCGGCCCTAGGCCCACACCCTCCCCTTTCCACCAGGTTCATTGTTCCTTTGTTCCTTCCAGCTCAGTAAACATCTGCTGGCCACCTCCCTAGGCCTGGCCAGGGAGATAAGGGGACAGACTGTCAGTGAGGCCTGTGACTCAGGGGGAATCCTGAGAGTATGGATGTATGGGGAGGCTTCCTCCTCTGTCAGGCCCAGGGCCTTAGGAGGGTCCCTTCTCACCCCTGTGGGCTGAGTACTCCCCACGACCCCCCATCCAGCACTCTGCCTCTCCGCACTCTGGACATAAGCCTGCAGGCCCTTTGACAGCACCCAGAAGGGAACAAGTCAGGGTCCTACTAACAGATACCAGTTTGGGAACCTCCCAGAATTCTCCCACAGGAGCCATGGTGGTCCGCAGCCCCTTGCCTGGGGCTCATGCCCTTCACACCTGGAGAAGGCTCTGCTCCTTGCCTGGACTGAGCAGTAGGCCCCTTTAGGTGACAAAACAGGGCCAGCCTTCTGGGCCTCTGCCTTGCACAGAACAGTCCCCTTCTGGGCATATGCTTAGGTGGCCTTGAAGGATGGGGTGGCTATGGGAGGAGAGGGACAGTGTGGGTGGGAGGCAGAGGTCCTGCTTCCTTCATGAACCTCAGTTTCCCCAGTTGTGTGGCTGATTCTTGCTGTGATCTTAGGTTCCAGGAGGGAGCTGACTGGGGTGAAGGTAGATGGATGAAAGGGAGGGGGGAGGACAGAGGGCACCCTGGACCCACTGTCTTGCTGCATTCCTGTTTGTACACCCAGCCTGGAAACCTGAAGTTCTTGTGCCGTGGAGGGTGGTGGTTACAGGCCGTGACCCGGTATCTGGTGGAACTGGTCTAACAGGCTGGGAGGCTAGAGGTGAGAGGTGACCACAGGTGCAGAAGACTTTGCCCCAGGGAGGGTAAGCTGAGCAGAGGAGCTGTCTCTGCTCTCTGCTTGGCCCAAGTCTCACAGCAGGTGCCTGTCCACTAGAATCCTGCTTGCCGCCTCACCCTCCCAGGATCCCGTCTGCAGCCCCAGTGGAACATGCCGAACCCTGTTCCTGACACTGGAGGTGGGCAGAGCGGCCTGGGCCCTGCCCTGGAGCTCACCAGCTCTGGGGGAGACCCAAAAGCAAACCTCAGTGGAACAGTGATGGAAGGGAGCACAGGTGGCCTGCAGGAGGGTGGTGTCAGAGGCAGTGTCTATCTCAAGGCAGTGACTGAATTCCCTCTTGGGGGGAGTTTGGAGTCCCCATTCCCCTCCATAGCCTCTTCACCTGCGAGCCCTCTCCAAGCCTGCTCTGCTGGCATCACCACCTCCAGGCAGCCTCCTCTGATCTCTTCCCTGACTTCCTACTGTCATGGCTGTGCTCACACAGAGACTCATAGCAAGGTGGCTCCTCAAGGGCCCTGTCTGTGGGCTGGAAATTTCTCTGACTGGCTCTGTGCTCTGTGCCTAGACAATGGCCTGGGAAAGGTGTAAGGACAGACATTGATCTTGAGATCCTGGCCCTGGGTAATGGGGGTGAGGGTCTGGGCTGCCCTTGACCCTTTGGTCTCATTGCTGTATACCAAGACCCTCTATGCTGGGCTAAGGACAGGTGTGGGGGTGGGTGAAGGAAGGGTGGCTTTGTCACTCAAAAATCCTAGCCCACCTGTAGGATCTGGAGCTGAATGCCTGCATTTGAATCTCAGTTCACCTCTTCATATGAGGCCCTGGGCAAATGACTTAACTTCTCTGTGCCTCATCTGCATCCTCATCTACAACATGGGGACGCTGGCAGTACCTGTCTCATGGTGGTTTGCACGGTGCTGCGTACATGGTAGGTTCCCAGTCCCTGTGAGATAATTCTGTGATGGTTCCATTCCATTGTGTCCCAGTGTGGCTGCTGGATGCCAGGGTGGACCCCAGGTGCCACCTATCTTGAGTAGTTTTTCTAGCCTAGAGCGGGCAAACCCACTCTCCTGGCAGTGGGAACATGTCCCAAACTATCTCCCCCTCTCCTCTCTGTGCTGGGCTGGGGGAACTGCCCCCAGGGCCCCTGCTCCTCTGCCACAGTGAGCCAGGGCCGAGCTGAGCCTGGAGTGTGGGTTGCTTGACTCCTGAGCGCTGTGTCTCTCAGGAGCCAGAGAAGTATCAGGGGCCAGCACCACGTTCCTGGGTGGCGGGTTCTGGCTGGGATGGTTGGGCCTGGCCTACGGGTCTGCCTAGGCCGTGCTGCTCAGTGGGGAGGAGAGCCATAGCTGGGGAGCCCAGCAGAGCTAGGTGCTGTGCCATGGGCCCACTTACTTGCCTTGTGACCTTGGGTGTCACTGCCCCTCCTGGCCTCAGTGACCTCTGTGGAATGGGGAGTTGTGTCTCTGTTCAAGGCCCTGGCTAAGAGGATCTGAAGGGAGAGCTGCTAGGCTGCCCCCCTGCAGACCCTGGGGAGGCCAGGTGGTGGCTGTCTCTCTTCCTATGGTGGGGATGTGGCTAGGGTCCCCGCACCCCTTTCCTGTCTGCCCTCCCAACAAGCCCCAGGAGGCCGACACTAAGTCATGGCTCCCTCTGGCTAGGAGTAGAGGGCTGGGCATGGGCCAGGGCCTGGGAGATAAGATAGAGGGCAGCAGGAAGGGAAGGAGGGAGGCCAGGCTACTTCCCACCTCTCCTTCCTGACAGGCACCTTCACTGTGTTTCCATGACCTGGGCAGTATTATTCAGACCTGTGGCATCCTTGTGGCTTGGCCCTGTGTCACCCTGAGGCCCCATCTGGAGCTGCTCGCGCCCTCAGGGGTGTTACGGCCCTCAAACTGGTGCTCCAAAACACTGGTTTCCTCAGGCAGAGGTGATAATTGGAGTCCCAAACGCCTCAGCGAGCCCTTTGCCCCATTTTCCCCTGCCAAGTGCTCCGCCTCCATATTCCGTGGAGTCCTCACACAGTCCTGCAGGGATAATAATCTACCTCCTTTGCACAGTCAAGGAAAGGGAGGCTCAAAAAGGTTGAACCACTGGTCCAAAGTTGCACAGCCAATGGGGAGCAGGAAAGATTTGATTTCGTCTTCCTGACTCTGCTGCCTTCTGCTGGCCGCGTGCAGTAGGACCTCAGTAGCTCTGTTGGGGTTGAACTGGCTCTGGAGCATCAGCTGAAGTGGAGGCAGGCCCGTGCTGGGTGACTGGGGCATGTTATTTGTTCTCTGTAAAATGAGCACAATGCGTGCTTCTCAGGACCATGGTGAGGATTGATGATGGTGCCAGATGAATGCCTGGCACATAGAAGGGATGTCTCAGTGTTTACGTCTTCCCATGCCCCATTGTCCCCTTGTCCTACTCCATCAGTTCTGTGGAGTACAGATGCAGATAGGAAAGGACTAGGGGCCTGAGGTGGGCCTCATGCATGCCCCAAGCACAGACCTGGACTGGGAATGAGGAAGGGGACTGTCCTCATGCCCAGCCTGGCCCACTGGGCCCACATTGGGCACATGAAGGGCACACAGGAGCTCTGTGCTTTGTTTGCTCAGCTCTGTTTTTACTTGCTGTGTGCCCTTGACAGGTCACTGGCCCTCTCTGAGCCTTCATTCCTTATCCATAAAATGGAATACAGCCCCACACTCTTCAGGTAGGGTATGGGTCAGATGAGACAGCCTGCACATGTGCCCACACAGGGCCTGGCCTTCTGCTGGCTCTTTCCACTCTTCATGTGTAATTTTGGGGTTTGTTTCCACCCAGGGCCCCTGCCCCAATTCATGACCGTGTTCCCCTGGGCCAGCTGATGTGGGCCCCGTGGGGCTGCTCGTGCTGGAGGGTGATGGAAACTGAGACCGTGGGGGGCCGGAGGAGGGGTTCCCCGGGGCCCAGCCCCCTGAAGTCCTTCCATGGCGTCTGTTCACTGTTGAACCTTTGGCAGGAGAGCGGGGGAGGAGCCTTCCAGGCAGCACTTGAGGCAGGTAAATTTGGACACATCAGCTGGCCATGCCGGGCCCCTCAGTGTGAGGGGAGGTGGTGAATCTCCATGCTGACAGTGGGGTCTCCCCTTGGCTTCTCTGCAGGACATCTGTGAGGACCCCCACCTCTTTGTGGATGGCATCAGCTCCCATGACCTGCACCAGGGCCAGGTGGGCAACTGTTGGTTTGTGGCAGCCTGCTCATCACTTGCCTCCCACGAGTCACTGTGGCAAAAGGTGAGACCCAGGGTGGGGAGTGCTGGAGAATGTTACTCAGCCTGCAGCCCTGGCTGCCAGACCGGGCAGGTACAGCCTGACCATGTGGACGGGACTTCATGAAATCCCATGCAGGGATGACGTCGGGTGACACTGGAGCGCCCCAGCATTGCTGAACATCAGAATTGCCTTCCCGTCACATGACAGCTTAGGATCTCCGGGGGCCGGTGCTGGGAATCTGTATAGCTCCCAGGGAGATGCACATGTGTCCCCTCCTGACTGTCCGAGGCCCGCAGTGTGCGAGATGCCTGAGTCATGGGCAACGTGGAGATGCCTCTAACAGGCTCAGCAGACCCTGCCAGCAGCTGTGTGACTTGATGGGTCCTTGTCCATCTCTGGTGTCAGCTTTCATGCTTGTCCAGTGGCAGCGGTCCAGGCGATCCTAACTCATGGCCCATAGTTCCCAGCTGCTGATGTTCTGAACCAGGGCTAAGGGTTTAGGTTGGAAAGCACCGGCCCTGGTCCTGACCCTTGGCCTCCTTGTGGCAGCTCTGGGTGGTGCAGCCCTTAAACCAACTCTCAGAGCTCCTTTCTCCGGGAAGCAGGAGACTGGGGCAGGGCTGGGCTGCTGGTCTCTAAAGAATAATCGGCCCGGCCTGCATCCTGGGTTCCTGGGCCAGTGGGCACAGGTCATCGCACCTCTCTCACCCCTGTGCTTCCTGCTCCTCCTAGAGGCTGGCAGCAGGGCTTAAGAGCACCTGGCATCCCAGTCTTATGTGCTCAGTTTGAGCCCCATCCTTACCATTGGTAACGTTTTAATTAGCCTCAGGTTACTCAGCTGAAAGCCAGGATATCAGGCTCACTCCCTCTGTGGGGGTTGTGAGGGTGAAAGGGGCTACTGCACTCAAAGGACCTGGGCAGAGTGCTCTCAGTGAGCTGTGGCTGTGTGACCAGTGTCACAGCAGTTAGTCTGTGTAGAACATGATGGGCATTCCTATGCCCACAGGGCACTAGGAGCAGAGGGAGTTTGTGCTCGTCTTCTGTGGTGTCCCTCAAACATCAGAGGAAGCTGTGCCCTTAGCCAAGGCTGGGACTGTGGCAGGTGCCCTGCCGTCATGTCTCCTGAATGCGGTGTGACCTCTCAAAGCCACCCAGGGTGGGCATCCCCGGGGCCTGGTCCCCGGTGGTCCTGTGGGGATACGGATAGCTGCATGCTATAGGGCCCTCGGCAGAGGCCACTGGGTGGCCTGTAGATGTGCACAGTCATGGAATGTCTGAGCTGGGAGGCCTCAGAGAGCCACACGTGGTATCACTCCACTTGGGCCTCGTGGCCTAGAAAGGGTGGGATCTGGCACTGTTCTCTGGGTGTGGGGCTGTCCTCCCCTCCTGCTTCTAGGCTCCAACCCCCTTCTCTGAGCCAGAACAAGGTCCCCCTGCCTCTGAGCCCACCCCCAGCTAGGTCACGGCCTAGTCTGCAGGTGGAGGTGGCACAGGGGAATCCTGTGGGGCTGGCCCACACCTCCCACCCTGTCCTATAATTGCCTGTTTACCTGTGGTCTCCCCTCTTGAGGTGAGCTCCCCTTGGGCAGAGCTGGTCCAACTATATCTTCCCACTGGGCCCAGCAGGAGCTTGGCATAGAGAAGGCTCAAGAAAGTTTTGAGAATAGAGATCCTGCCCAAATTTTGGGACCCAACTGCTGCCCAGCCCCGTAGCCTCTTGGGGCATCTGGGGGGCCAGAGCCTGGCCCGCAGCATCCCCTCCTGGGGAATGGGCTGTCTGGAACTTGCAGGGAGGGGTCTTGGCTAGTGTGTGGTGGGCCTGGTCCTAGGTGGTCCCCTGACACAGCTCCCCGTCCAGTGAGGGCTGCAGGCAGGAGGCCTGTCACTGATGCTCTGCCTCTGTAGCAGGTCTGGGTTTGTCTCTGGGCTGAAGGTTCCTCCGGCAGTGGTGGGGCACCCGGCCTAGCTGGTCTGGAGGCTTCTAGAACCAGGAGGTTGATCTCCAGAGCTTGGGTCCTCGGGACGTGCGGGGAGGGCAGAATGTCTTGGCTAATTGCTCTCTGCCTCATGATGCTGCTGTAGGGACAGCCCCTGGGTGCTGGCAGGAGGCACACAGCCCCCGGGACCTCATTAATGCACCTCCGCTCCCCTCCTGTCCCTGATGACTGGGCCCTGTTTGTCAGGGCCTGTTGCCCAGCAGAGCCTCCCCTGCTCAACTCTGTTTTCTCCATGGAACAGGGGTGCCCAGACTGAGCTGTGCCCTGCTCCCCCTGCCCACCTTGCTGTAGGGATGCTGAGCCTCAGATACAGGCAAACCCATGCCTCCTCCTCCAGGAAACCACCCCTGTACCTCTAGTTCTTGACACAGCCTGGGACCGATAGGCACGGATGGGATTTGCAGTCAGCCAGACCTGGGTCTGATTCTGGCTAGGTGCCATGCTAGTTGAGCAGGTCACATTTTTTCTCTTGACCTCAATCTAAACGTGATCTTTCCTTTCCACCTCCTAGCATTGGGAGAGGATTAAAGGAGCCTGTCTGGGGCAAGCCCATGGCATTTAGTGTGTGAAATATGCATGTGTTAAATCTTCCTCCCCACCCCACCTCTGTACTCCCCATCTATTTCTCTGCTCTAGACACCTCTAGACCCTGGCCTCAGCTCTTAATAGCTTTTCCAACAGCTTTCACTGTTAGCCACCCCACCTTGGCCTCCTGCTCCCACAGCCACCACAGCCTGTGCCTCCATCTGCCCTCCCTGCTGGTCCTCACTGGAAGTATGACCTTTCTGGCCTCGCCTTCCAGGCATCTCCCTCACTCCACCTTGACACACACCTGGCCCTAAACCTCATTTTGGTCTCAGTGCCCATGTACTCTCTCCCCAGCTGCTCATCTTACTGTTTTCCTTGACCTTGGGCCCTGTGGTCCATCATATCAATCATCCTCTCATCAGTGTCATTTGTTATTCATTCATTTATTCAACAAGCATTTTTCTGAGGGCCTCCCATGTGGCAGGCTATTCGAGCTGCTGGCCCAGAGTGATGGACAGGACAGACACAGTGCCTTTCCCTCTCCAGGCTTAAGGCCTAGTGGGGAGACATCCCAGACAAAAACTAAGCAAACACACACATAGGCTGGGAAAGAGAGAAACAGCTCCTCCTTACCAAGGAAAGAGAAGCGCCCCCAAGAGTAACTGCTCAGCTTTGTTGTCCCCTTCACCCCTGCACTCCCAGCTACAAAGTAAAACGATCTGTGAGGGTCAGGCAGCTTTAACATCTTCCAGTCTCCTGAATACCCTTGGGGAATTGCTACCAGTGACCCCAGAACTGATGCTAGAGCATGAGGTGTTGTCTTAACATGACCAAGTGCTCTGTCCCCACTCGGTGCCCCTTTGCTGTTTATGTAGCCCAAGATCCCACTGACATACTTAGTTTTGATCTAGCAGTTGACTATACTTGTGGTCCACTATACCCTTCAGATTGTTTTCAGCTGTTACACTTTGGCCTGTGCCTCTGTCCTCTTTTCTGTGTGTGGCATGTGATGGCAGTTTCCCCTCTTCTCTTCCCCAACCCCCATCCTCACTCACATATTCCAGTTCTTCTGTTAGCCTGCATGTAGTAGTTGAGTTCCTGGTTCTGCCTCAGGCACTGGGGATATAGGTGTGTGTCAGAGGCTTCCTGGCATCAAATCTCCTGGGGAAAACTGAGGATCGATACAGGTGGAGTAAGTGGTGGGGTTTTAGTAGGAAAGAAACCTGAGCATGTGCTGCCGTGTGGCAGGGATCATCTAGGTCAGTGGTTCTGAAAGCACAGTCCATGGCCAGCAGCTTCAGCAGCATCTGGGAGGTTGTTAGAAAGGCAAATTCTCAGGCCTCCTCAGCACGTATTAAATCAGAAGCTCTGGAGATATGGGACCCAGCCCTCCTTTTTATGGCCTGCAGGTGATTCTGACACTCACTAGAGTTGGAGAATGGGGGGCTAGGTGAGAGGCACTCATGGATGGGCCTGGGGCCTGGCAGAATGCGGGGAGGGTTGTCAGGGTGTCTGGGAGGCAGAACTGTGCCCGTGCCTTGGTGATTGGGTGTGGAGGCTGAGGCTGAGGCCGAGTCAAGGATGGCTCTGAGGTTGGCTTGGGCCACTTCAAATCTCAAAGTGGCAGGACCCCCGGGGTCCTTGTTCAGCCCAGGGTCCTCCAGCCTCCCCTTACCCGCCTCCAGCAAGTGCCTGCTCCCCACCTCCCTCCCCTTAGAGCTTCTGCAGTGCTTCCTTCTCACAAACAAGCCAGCTCCCAGCCCAGGTGGTTGCCACAGCAACTGACATCAGTGATCTGGTCCCCAAGGAGCCTGTCACCCTCCTGCCTGCCTGCCTGCCTGCCTGTGGAGCCTCCTAAGTTACTGCTTCTGTGAGGAGTAGAGAGGCATTTGGGATCCCACCTTCTTACCCAGCCCATTTTGAGGCCTGGGTGGGGCTGGGGAGGGCCAGAGGCAAAGAGGGGAGGGGAATGGGGAGGGTGGAAGGGTAGGCGGGGCCCTTCTTTGGTGGCCTCCGGCCTCGGGGGCACCCTAGCCCACTCAGCTCCTAGAGGCGCAGGCAGCAGCAGGCCATGGCAGAGGACGGGCCGAAGCAGCCACAGCTCGACATGCCCCTGGTCCTGGACAAGGACCTGACCAAGCAGTTGCGGCTGCGCGTGGAAAGCCTAAAGCAGCGAGGGGAGAAGCGCCAGGATGGTGAGAAGCTGCTGCGGCCGGCCGAGTCCGTGTACCGCCTTGACTTCACCCAGCAGCAGAAGCTGCATTTTGAGCGCTGGGATGTCGTGCTGGACAAGCCAGGCAAGGTCACCATCACAGGCACCTCCCAGAACTGGACGCCCGACCTCACCAACCTCATGACCCGCCAGCTGCTGGAGCCTGCTGCTGTCTTCTGGCGCAAGGAGGACTCGGATGCCATGGACTGGAATGGGGCTGATGCCCAGGAGTTCGGGGAGCGCCTGTCTGAGCTGGCCAGGATCCGCAAGGCCATGTACTTCCTCATCGCCTTCGGCGAGGGCATTGGGCCTGATGACCTCAAGGCTTCCGTGGTCTTCACCCAGCTCTGAGGGCAGCTGCTCAGTGCTGCCCCTCCTCTCGCCCCCCTGCCCTGTCCGCTGCCTGCGCCCCCTTCCCCCAGTGTGTGTTTGAGGACCTTCTTCTAGCTGTTGGCCTGTACTCAGCTTGGCCGGAACCCTCTGAGCCTGCGTCCTTCCCCATCTCTTACGCTGGTGCTGGCGCTCCTGCTCACGGAGGACGTTGCAAAGGTGCCGTAGTCTAGAAGCTGAACTGCTTCTGCAGTAGACCAATGAGGCTTTGTCAGGGCTGGGGTGGGGAGACAGAGGGGCCTTGGGCACCTGCCTTCTCTCTGCTTCATCGCTGGGAGAGACACTGAGAGAGACAGAGACAGACACTGAGAGGGAGAGATCCAAGAATGAACACTGGGCTTCCTCTGGGCACAGGAGATGAGGACGACGGGGCTGCCTCCTTGGGGAATCTAGACAACAGGCATTTGCTGCCTCCCTGGCCATGGTGCCCTCTGCTGAGCCCATGTTTGGAGGTGAACACCCAGCCTGAGGACCCAGGAAGATGCTGCCTCTGGCACAGGCCTGGCATTGCCACATGACACTGTAGGGCCCTCCAGATATGGGGCCGAGCCGCTGTGGGGGCTGATGTGGGCAGTGGGGAGAGGCTGGCACGCTGGATGCTGTGCAAGCCAATGGCTGCTCTTCTGGGAATGCCTTCAGGAGTGGAGAAGTGAAGGGGGGGCATATAACAAAGTCACACAAAGATATGTCTATTTATGCATATACATGTATATTGAAAGAGAGCATGCTGTGTTCACATGGACATGTCTGTGCTGCCCTTTGAACAAGTCCCATTTAGTTCATTTACAGTCGCCCAGCTGGTTCACAGGTGGCCCTTAGCAGGGGTGTGGTCAGGATAACCTTGGGGTTGGGCTTCCCGAGCTGGGAGACTTGAGGTTCACAAAGTGAAGCGGGGAACAGGGTAGTAAAGGGATTTCCCTCTGCCTGGGAGAAGCTGCATAGCGGGGTCCAGGGCACTGGAGCTGGCGTCAGTAGATTCTCTGGAGCCTCAGGTGTCCCCTGCAGGGAAGTCAGGCTATTTCCAGATCCCTGGGCAGGGAGGGCAAGCGTTTCCTCTGCCCTGGCATCTGACTGGCATCTTTAATGGAGCCGAGGGGAGTGGCTTGCATGGTAGGCCTGGTGATGGCTGATGGTCAGAGGTGGGCTAAAGGTGGCAGTGTGGTTGATAGTGAGACAGTAGCCTCAGAGGGAACTGGGTGCAACCCACGCACCAGACAGGGCGTCTGAGGCACAGTCAGCCACAGGCCCCTGAGCCTGGTCCCCTCCACACTCCACATGCCCTTTGCAGAGGGGCCTGACCCGCCTGTCGTCAGCCGAGGGCCCCTCAGGCTGTGCCCCCAAACCCTGCCTCAAGGCCAGCCCTGTTTTTTTTTTGTCAGGACTGTGCCCATGATATTTTCCTCATGCAGCAGAACCAGCAGGGGACCACAGGACCCTGGGAACAGAGAACTGAGAGATGGAGGGTCAGAGCGTCATCAGTGGCTGGGGCTGCTGGGAGAGCAAGGCCCCACTTTAGAGGCCCGTGAGCATGAGTGGGGTGCTGGGGTGGGACTTAGTGGGGAGACTGGCTGTACTGTGTACTCTGGTCCTTCCTAACTCACGGCTCTGGGGCCTCTTCTGGGTCATGTGTCAAGTCCTGGTTGCTGCCTGCCTGCCTCACCGCCACCTCCTGGGGAAGGCCCTGCCCCAGCACATCTGCCCCTTATGGGTGAGAGTGCCTCTGCTGTGCCCACTGTGTGTCCCCAATAAAGCCTGTGTGCCCCCACCTCGGTGGTGCAGTCTCTCGCCGTGAGCTGCCCTCCCCTTCAGGAGCTCTGACTTGGCCGCTGGCCCTCCCGCCCAGAGCGCGCCCCCCAGCCCCTTCCCCCACGCTCCTGAACACTCCAGCCACTTTCAGGGATAAGGCCCAGAGCAGTCAGATGACTAGCCCAAGGTCAGACTCAGGACAGAGTTTAGAACCAGGTCTTCTGACACCCAACATCCCTGACAGTTGTTGCCTCCAGTGGCCCCCAGGTCAGCCTCTGTATGTGGTGTGTGGGGCCATGGTGAGGCTACAGGGAGGCACCATCTGGTCCTCGGCAGGTGGGGCCCAAGGGGATGGGTGGGGACACACCGAGCTGTGACCAGTTTTGAGTCTCCCTGCCTGGCAGAGAGGCTGGGCAGGGGCAGGGGCAGAGGGACAGGGGAGTGGCAGGGGTTGGGTGGGGTCAGGCCTGCACCCAGGTTTAGTCCGGCCTCTGTTTCCCATTTGCTGCACACCCTCAGGCAGCCCCAGCCCTCTCCCAGCCTCAGACTTTCTGGAGGGAACACCTGGTTCAGTGAAGCCCCTCCAGGCACCCCCCACCACCACCTGCTGGCAGCCCGTGGCTGGTAGAGCCCCACCACCTGCTGATGGCTGAGGCTGGTAGAGCCCCGCCACCGGGGCCCCACACTTGGCCCTTCTTCAGAGCTCTGGCCCTTTGTCATCTCTCTCAAGTTCTCTGAGTTTTTAGACAGAGGCAGCTGAGGCCCCAGGGAGGTGGCAGGCAGCCGAGACCGCAGAGGGTCAGGAGGGGCCAGAGGAGGGGCCTGGGTAGGCCTTTGGCCCTTTGACTCTGGCCCCCTTGGACGGTCAGGGCTGGGGCCCCTACCAGCCTGAGGGCCCAGCTCAGGGAGGCTGGCTTTTTCCCAGAGATCAAGATGAGGCCCTGTATCAGAAGCCACACTTGGGGTTTTGCTGGGAACAGCTCCTGCTTCGAAATGCACCCCCACTGGGTCTGGCTTCCCCATCCTCCTCCACCCCAGAGTCCTCCCCAGCGCAGCTGCTGCCCTAGCCTCCCTCCTCAGTCCTGCCCTCACCATGGCCCCCCTCCACTCCTGAAGATTCCCCTGGGAGGGGCAGGGAAATGGAGACAGAGGAACACAGCCCCTCCACCCCTTCTCCCTGGCTCTCCAGACCAGGCTGGGAGGAGTGCAGGGACGGGGAAGCAGGGACGCACTTTCCCTGGACACCACAGAGCAAGAGGACCCACTGTTTCCTGAGCTCCTGCCTCCTGTTGAGGCAGTGCATGTGATGATGACGGGCCCACCTGGCGGTGCCTGCGGGACCCTGGGCAACCTGTCTGAGCCCATTTCCTCTCTCTCAGTGGGGGTTAATGACTGTGCCTCCCTCCCAGGGTCACTGAGAAGATAAGGGGGTTTATGTTGGGAAGCACTGAACCTCACAAACTGGCACCTCTGGGCTTGCTCAGGGTCGCCCTCCCATTTGCTGCAGACACACCTTCACAGTTACTGGAGAGGAGGGTGTTAGGAGAGCCTGTTCACTGGGGAGGAGCACGGGGTTCAGAGAGGGGGCGTGAGTTGCCTGAGGCGACACCAAGCAGCAGGCAGTGGGGGTGGGAGTGGGCAGGGGCCAGGCCTGGCCCTGTGGTCCAAGAGAGTGGACTCTCCTCACTGTCGCTAGGCTCTGAGCAGCCCAGCTGAGGTGACCTTCAGCCCCCACGGCACAGCTTGGGGTCCCTGTGTGAGGGGGTCTGTGCCAGGGCTGGGGTCCTGGCCCCGATCTCTGAGCGCCTGGCTGTACTCACTCCCTGCCCTATGAACAGGAAGTCCCAGGCTCCCCACAGGTGCACCAGTGTCCTGCTCTGGGGTGGCAAGCCTGGGGGCTATGGGGGCACCCATTCTTCTTGGCCTCTCCTAGTCAGGGCATCTGAAACTCAGGAATGTGAGACTCTTGGATTCAGAAGCTGAGAACTGGGGCACATCACATTCGCAGAATCAGGTCCTTCTAGTTTCTGGACTCAGAGGCCCGTAGCTCGCTTCCCCAGCTTGTGTGACACAGGAGGCCCCACCGCAGCCCCGCAGCCCGAAGCCCTGCTGCCCTTGTTCAGAATGCTCCCAGCTGGCCCTCTGGAGTCCTTCCTTCCTATGCCATGCCCAACACACCCTCACACCCCAACACACAAGCGCGCTTGGGTGCACACACACCCCCACCCCAACACACAACTGCCTCACATGTGCCTGTGACACACCAAAGTTCATATACTTAGCACACTCATACATGTGTGCCTTACTTGCACATGGGTCCTGAGCAGTACCACCCCTGGGCTGCTGACCCTTCCAGCCTTTCCCCCGCTTTCTGTCACATACCTGGGCAGAGTCCCAGTAGGATCCCAGCCACTGCGTCCGGGCCAGAGTCCCCCAGGGAAAGAAAGCCTCGGGATTCCGCCAGGCACCAGGGCACCAGGGACGCTGTGGTGTACCCATCTGTGGGCCCCTGAGGTTTCTGGGCCGATTCTGTAGTGGGGGGCTGTTAATGCATCCCCTCCGTGTGAAGGGGGCTCCAAATCCCACAGTCCTTGCCTTACTCCTGGTCGATTGGAGAGTGCCTCAACCCCTTAGGCCTTGCTTTTCCCATCTGCACAGGGTCTGTGGTGAGGATTTTCTTCTTGGGGGGGAGGTTGAGTGGGTCACCTCTGCTTCCTCCCAACCCCAAGGTTTGCAAAGCCTGTGTAAGTGCACACACTGCGTACACCAGCAGGGATGCCCCCTCACGTGTGCACAGCGCTCCACAGTTTACACGGTACCTCCAAGGCCATTATCCAGCTCAATCCTCACACAGTCCTGGAGGCAGGAGAGGTAGGTGGGTTCACTGAGGCTCAGGGAGGTGGTTCAGTCAAAACCTAAGTCCCTGCCAAGCATCGTGGTTTGTAATGTGGTGTCCAGTTGTGGGTGCGAGGTCACCAGCTGTGGAGCTGGGCTAGGCCCTGTCCTGGATGCTGGGTGCTGGGGGTCTCTGCATGATAAGGCTATCCCTGTCCTTGGGGAGCAGGGAGAGAGCCTGGGAGAGGGGCTGCCTAATGGCGCCCAGGGGAGCCCTGGGTCAGGAGGCCCCTTCAAGCTACTGCTCAGCCAGCACCAAGGGACAAGGACCAGGACAGGTGCTGGCAAAGGGAGCCACATGTACAGCTGAGGTGGCCCGAAGCCTCACAGGGTGTGGGTTTCCATGAGTCCCAAGAGAGGCAGTGTTTAGGGGGAGGCTGAGAGACTCAGCAGAGCCTCAGGGCTTTGGATACCAGACCAGGGAGCTGGTGTCCATGGTGACAGGGCATCTGGGCTGTAGATGGCCTAAAACACTCCCTTGTACCCATCCCTCTGCTTCAGCGATCGTCACCTCAGGCTCATCTTGCTTCCTCTCCATCCCCCCACAACCAGCAGGCAGCATATCATTTCATCTGTAAATATTTCTGGATGCATCTCTAAATAATAAGGATTCGTTAAAAACAAAACAAAACTCTGTAACCATAATACCATAACACAACTAAACTAATTTTACAATAATACCTTAATATCATCAAATACCCAGTAAGTGTTCTGGTTTCCACTTGCACCATAAATGTGTGTACTTTCACAGGTCACTTGTTTGAATCAGATCCAGACAAAGGTCCATAATTGGCCTGGAGCAGTCCCGTGTCAGCCCAAGGTCAGACTCAGGACAGAGTTTAGAACCAGGTCTTCTGACACCCAACATCCCTGACAGTTTTTGCCTCCAGTGGCCCCCAGGTCAGCCTCTGTATGTGGTGTGTGGGGCCACGGTGAGGCTACAGGGAGGTACCATCTGGTCCTCGGCAGGTGGGGCCCAAGGGGATGGGTGGGGACACACCGAGCTGTGACCAGTTTTGAGTCTCCCTGCCTGACAGAGTGGCTGGGCAGGGGCAGAGGGACAGGGGAGTGGCAGGGGTGGGATGGGGTCAGGCCTGCACCCAGGTTTAGTCCGGCCTCTGTTTCCCATTTGCTGCACACCCTCAGGCAGCCCCAGCCCTCTCCCAGCCTCAGACTTTCTGAAGGGAGCAGCTGGTTCAGTGAAGCCCCTCTGGGCTCCCCCGCCACCTGCTGATGGCCTCAGCTGGTGGAGCCCCGCCACCGCGGCCCCACACTTGGCCCTTCTTCAGAGCTCTGGCCCTTTGTCATCTCCCTCAAGTTCTCTGAGTTTTTAGACAAGAGGCAACTGAGGCACTTGGGAGGTGGCAGGCAGCCCGAGGCTGCAGAGGGTCAGGAGGGGCCAGAGGAGGGGCCTGGCCTTCCAGTTTGTGCCATAATGTGTGTGTTTCATTGTTTGATCAGATCCAGACAAAAGTCCATAACTGCAATCAGTTCGTTCCCCTTCATCTTTTTATTTTTTCCTTGTGATTTAATTGCTGGAAAACCCAACTGCCCTGTGGAGTTTCCCACTATCTGAATTGTGCTGGCTTTGTTTTCATGGTGGTGTTTAACATGTTCTCTGTGAGTTCCTGGAAGCTGGGATTTACCTCTAGAGGCTTGATAAGGCTCAATTTCAATTTGATTTTTGGCATGACTGCTTCATAGGAGATACTGTGTATGTCTCTCAGGAAGCACATAATGTCTGGTTGTCTCTTTTTTGTGTGTGATGTTAGAAGCCACAGATGATCATTCTGTAAAGCCATTATTTGCCAGTGGTTGCAAATAGTAGGAGTCTAATATTCTAATGTCTTCCCCATTTCTTAGCTGGAATTCACCTCCCTTCATCTGCTAATGGTTACCCTCCATTTGCATAGAAAAGGCAGAGTAAATCCTCAGTGCTCCTCTTAGTTTTCTAGTTTCAAAAAAATGAGTTGCTTCCCTGCCATCCACTATGGACTAATTGTTTGTTTTTGTAAATGTCATTGTGAGCTTAGAGATTTGAACATATTCAATGTGTCTTCACCCACTGCAGCTACTCTCCCTGATTATATCCCGGTTACTGATGCTTGGATCAGCCCATCTTGGCCAGTGGAGCCTCCTAGGTTGGCTCCTGAATCCTTTGGGGTGGCCTGGGGCTTCTTTGACTGCCTCCTTGGATTTCTGGTGTGACTGGACAGGTTGTGGAAGGGTTTTGTGTTGCTGTGCCTGGACAGTCTGCTCCCTCTCACCCAGTACCTGGATGCAGAGGGGCTGAGAGGTGAGAAGCCTGGCCTGGGGCCCACCCCATGCTGGGTCCAATGGCTGTGATGCGAGAGGGAAATGGAGGCCCATGGGGACCCCTGACTCTGCATCTCCAGGCCCTGGAGCCTCATTAGCTGCTTCTTGAGCCACAGAGGGCCCCAAGCCAAGCCCTGGGTCTATCTAATGATCCTCCCACAGCCCCAGCAGTACCTCCCAGAGCACCCCGAGGGCTCCTCTTCCTCCTGTTCTGTCCCCTCCCCTCTCCCCATGCAGTTCAGAGCTTTCAGAGCAAGGAGGAGCAGAGGGCAGTACGGTGACCAGGCCAGTGTGCTCAGCTTTGGACCCTCTACAGCTCTGTGCCCTTGGGCAGCTCCTTGCTCCTCTCTAGACCTCAACCTTCCCATCTGGGCAGTGGGGATAGCCCCTGACACATGCCCCATTTCTGACGCAGCTTTCTATCCTGCAGGCAAAATTGGGGAGAGTGCCAGAGGTCAGAGCAGAGGCTGGCCTGGGAATTTCTACTTAGAAAGGACACAGAGTTGACTGAAAAAGGACCTTGCTAATGTTAAGCCCTTGCTGGGTTCCAGACACTGTGCCAGGCTCCAAAGCCTTGAGTGTGAAACCTGCCTTCTGCAGCCATGCCCATGGGCAGCTGTCTTCCAGAGGCTTCCCTTAGTATTGCCTCAAAAGACAGTAGTGAGGATTAGGGGTGGTGGAGTACACAGCCTGCCGCGCCTGGGCCTGGCAGGCTCCATTATGGCTGGAGAGCCTCTCACTGCAGTGAGCATTTTCATTTTCTCCAGTGTCCCACTAGGGACCATTTCTCTTTGCCAACATCCCTGTTGATGGTTAGAGGCGTGTAAACAAAAGCACCCTTAATGAGTGTGGGGTTTGGGGAATGGCTTTTGGCTGAAGAATCTGTGCTCAGGCTGGTCTGGGCCTTGGGATTGACAGCCTCCCAATGCATCACTGGCTCCTCAGGCTGGGTGCCTGGGTGCCTGCCCCATACCGGAGGGTGGCTTTCTTCCAGAAGGTGCTGCTGGTAGTCCCAGCGGGTTCAGTCCCACCTGGTCCCATGCTGAGCAGGGCCAGCAGGTCACTCAGGTCACCAGGGTGAGGGGTTTTTCCTTCCTTGACCACCTCCTGCTGCCCAGATTGCCTCTTTGTTCTCATCTGCTTGGGGGACGCCCACTGCCAGCCCTCAGGACACCTGCTGGAAGCCGCTGCTGGCCTTGCAGGCTCAGGCCCACCACTCCAGGTCCCACATTGTCTATGGCAGAGATGGGAACTGAACTCGGTGTTCCCTTCCATTTTCCCTGGACACATGCATCCCTGTTTCCCCAGGAAGCTGCATGCGGTCCTCAGTGTGTCCCCATCCTGTCCCCCCCTCCCATTCAGGTCATCCCAGACTGGAAAGAGCAAGAGTGGAACCCTGAGAAGCCTGACACCCATGCGGGCATCTTCCACTTCCACTTCTGGCGCTTCGGGGAGTGGGTGGACGTGGTCATCGACGACCGGCTGCCCACGCTCAACAACCAGCTCATCTACTGCCACTCCAACTCCCGCAATGAGTTCTGGTGCGCCCTGGTGGAGAAGGCCTATGCCAAGTAGGTGCCGGCAGCGGGCAGGTGGCCAGGCGGGGCTCACACAGCTGATGGGCTCTCCCCTGGTGTTCCAGGGCTGCAGGCACCGAGAGGCGAGGGACTGGTGCAAAGTCGGACAGCGTGCGTGGGGCCCAGGCACCCGGGGCTCGGCCAGCTGAGCCCCCACTGGGTGAGCTGGAGGCCTGGGCTGTGGGGCCTCTGGTGCCTGGTGTCAAGGCCCCACAAGCAGCTCCGTGGGGAGTTCCTCCCACTACTGCCTGAGAAGGCGGGTGCAGGCGGGTGTCTCCCAGGCAGAGCCGGCACTCACATTCAGGTCGGCGGCTCTTTCCCAAAGATCTGAGCTGCTGAGCCCTCCCTGAAGTCCTTGAGAATGTGGCTTCTCTGAGCCTGGGCTGCTGGACCAAACGACCACCTTCTCTGCTCTGGGCCTCCCGTCCCACCATTGTCTGTCTCCCTGACTGACTATCCATCCGTGCTCTTTTCTGCCCCCTGCTTCTGCTCTGTGCCAGACCCTGGGTCCCCACCATGGCACAAGCAAAGGTTTGCTGAGCTAGGGAGGGCTTTGGGACGGAGTGACCTGCCCAGGCCCCCGCAGGACGGGCAGGCCTAGGACAGGCCGGCCAGTAGGCTCAGAGACCAGCGCACAGCACTGTGGGAGCCTCTCTCTGTTCCTCCTCCTGAGCCTGTTTGTCAGTCTTCTTGCGCGCGCGCGTGTGTGTGTGTGTGTGTGTGTGTGTGTGTATACATACAACAAAACAAACCCAAGAAAACGTTGACAGATTCCATTTTTAATCCTAAGAAAGCAAAACTCGCCCCCTGGTGGTCACTGAGTCTAAATGGTCCTTGGTGCAGGCCCTTCTCTTCCCACTGCCCTGCCATTCAGTGGGCTTGCTTGTATTTTTTATAGTTGTATTGTGTTAAAATATAATATTTATCCCTTTCACCATGAATAAGGGTGCAATTCAGTGGCATGAATTACATTTGCAATGCTGTGTACCTATCACTGCTATTGTTATCCTAAACTTTTTCATCATCCCCCAATTAAACTCTACCTACTAAACAATAACTCCCCCTTTGTCCCTCCCACCAGCCCCTGGGAACCTCTATTCTGCTTTTTGTCTGTATGATTTACCTATTCCAGGTAGCACAAATAAGTGGAGCCCTAAAATACTGGACCTTCTACGTCTGGCTTATTTCACTCAGCATGATGTTGTCAAGGTCCACCCACATTGTAGCATATATCAATTTTTCATTCCTTTTTATGGCTAAATAGTAGTCCATTGTGGGTGTATGCCACATTTTGGTTATCCATTTGTCTGAAGATGGACACTTGGATTGTTTCCACCTCTTGGCTATCATGAATAATGCTGCCATGAATGCCGGTATACACATATCTGTTTGCAGTTCTTGGAATATTATACCTAGTAGTGAGTTGCTGGGTCATATGATAGTTCTATGTTGAAACTTTTTAGTGACCACCAAACTGTTTTCCATAGTGGCTACACCATTCATGCTTTCTTTTTAAAGTTTGCCTTTAAATTTATAGCAAATGTGTGCATTTTATAGCAAATTTAGAAAATAGAGAAAGCCACGCAGAAGAGAATAAAAGTCTCCTGTGTGCCTGCATATTCTTCCAGCCCCCCCACAGCCTTCCCTGTTTTGGGCTGTGTGAGGGAAGGAGGCTCCTCTGCTCAGGGACACCATCGCCATCGCCCCTCAAAGCCTGGCCCCTGTTCCACATCTCTGTTTCCTGCCTTTGCTCTCTCACACACCCTCCTCCACCACAGGCAACTTTTAAAAAGTATCTTTGCTGTATCTTTTTGTCTGTAGGTTGCTTTGCAAAACCTGTGTTGCTGTTTTGTGGGCATATGTTTTAAATCTGCATAATTGTATATTGTTACATATCCTGTTCTGCTTCTCGTGTTCACATTCAACCCTCTGCCTTTAAGACCCCAACCCTTTTCCTGACTGTAAATAAGGAATCACAGCTGTGTCCCTAGCACCTGGTATATTGCACATAGGTGATGTTTATTGTTTTTTAAATGAATTATTGTATGCATTTTAAACACAATTGGAATTTAACCATTGCTTTTTCAAACATAACAGGCAAGCGCTAGCATTTTCCCTCCAGTAGGAAACCTTTACAGTGCTTGCTTAATGCTTCAGAGTACAGACGCAGCATTAGTTTTTAAAATCAATTTCCTATTGTTAAACATTTAGGTGACTTGTAGTTTTATATTTTATAAGTGACATTACTCATCCATTAATGTGTCAAAAGTATATGAGCTTTTAATGCTTTTGAAAAGAATTGTTAGATTTTTGGACAGCTGACTTTTGAAGAGAGGGCTGCCAGGGCTGAAGGGAATTTGAGTGATAAAACTGTAGTTCAGTGGGACAGACATTGGCCTAGGAGCTAGAGACCTGGGTACTAGTGTTGGCTCTGCTGTGGCCTGCTGTGTGACCTTAGCAGTTTGCTTGACCTCTCTGAGTCTCGAAAAGCTTCTCTATACATTGTAGAATTTAGCCTGGCTGGAGAGCATGAGCTGGGAATTCTTTCCACATTGCTCCCCAGGCTGGCAGGCTGTTACCAGGCCCTGGATGGAGGCAACACGGCAGATGCACTGGTGGACTTCACAGGTGGCGTTTCCGAGCCAATCGACCTGATTGAGGGTGACTTTGCGAATGACGAGGCCAAGAGGAACCAGCTCTTTGAGCGTGTGTTGAAGGTGTACAGCCGGGGAGGCCTCATCAGTGCCTCCATCAAGGTGAGAACATAGAGGCAGACCCCAGAGGTGGCCCCTCCTCTTTGTTGACCCTAACTAGGGTGGGAGGTGACTTTGGCATTCCAGGCGGAGCCCCTGCACAGGTTGGCTCATAAATCCAGACCCTCAGCCTCATGGTGGAGGGGGGCAGTAGGAGGGTGCAGCCCCCTCCTGAGTGCTGGGCGGCACAAGCCATTGGCCCCCTGCCTTCCCCTGCCCTGTGAAATGCCTCACCCACACTTCTCAACCAACACTCCCTATCCCCAGCCCTCTTACTGGGATGAAGGGTGTCTGTGCATCTGAGGGTCTCCCTCAGTCAGGTTTGAAACATTGGAAGCTAAGAGGTGGCTGGAGGAGGGGAGGGATTCCTGCTGGTGCTGGCCCAGGCCTAGGCACCTCCAGAGCACCTCTTACCCACTTGACTGCATGTGTGACTGACCAGAAAGCTGGGGCTCAAGGAAGGCAGAGTGTGAATCCAGCTTTGGCTGACCAGTGTTGATAAACTCTCTGGACAAGTTAAAAACCCTGGTTTGTAGCCTTTGCCGCTTTCTGTGGTGTGAATACTCCCACCACGGTTGATTTCAAGTAAACATTTAACAACCGGCTTGCAAAACTGAGCCAGCGCACCCCCGGGCCTGCCCCACTGCAGCTGCCTTGCTTTGCCCGCATTGCTGCTCCCCAGGGCTTTTGTAAAGGGCTGTGAACATGAAGCTCTCAGAGGAAAGTCTCCCCTTTTGTGAAGCCATTCCCTTCCCATCCTGCAGGGGGTACTGTGGCATCCCAGGCTCCAGCCCCACTGCCCCAGGCCCTGACTTTGAATTGTGTCCTCCTGTAGGCTGTGACAGCAGCAGATATGGAGGCCCGCCTGGCGTGTGGCCTGGTGAAGGGCCACGCATACGCCATCACAGATGTGCGTAAGGTGCGCCTGGGCCATGGCCTCCTGGCCTTCTTCAAGTCAGAGAAGCTGGACATGATCCGCCTGCGCAACCCATGGGGAGAGCGGGAGTGGAACGGGCCCTGGAGTGACACGTGAGGCCCAGAGATGGGGGGCTGCGGGCACAGGGCAGACCCCAGATGGGTGGGCCCTGGTTCAAGGGCTTGGGCAAGGGTAGGGGTGGGCTTCCTGGAAGAGGTGGCACCAGGGCTAGGCCTTGAAGGATTTGGGGGGAGGATGACATTAGCAGGAGAATGACTTTGGAGTGGGTGTTGGCGTTCAGCATGGGCAGAGACCTGGAGGTGGGGATGATTTGACTGGGGACATAAGAGACCAGTCTGGTGAATGAGTGGGGAGGAAAACAGGGGTAAGAATGGGGGCGACTGCTCTGTGCTTGGCTCCTGGCCCTGGTGAGGCCAGGAGAGGAGCAGAGCCCAGGCCCCAGTAAAGGAGCCCCTGCCATTGAGGGTCACTGTCCCTTCATCCCCTAGCCTGCAGCTCTGCTTCCAGACCTCCTGGCCCCTGACATGTGGGAGTAGAGAGGGCTGGGCACGGCGCTGGGGGCCCCAACCGCACCCAGGCTGGTGGAGGCCTGGTGCTGAGCTGCCCCGCGTGCCTCTCCCTTGCTGGGGTAGCCCTAGTGGGGTCCCTCCTCTTACACTCCTCTTTCTTCCCTCCCCTGTGCTCACTTCCTAGCTCAGAGGAGTGGCAGAAAGTGAGCAAGACAGAGCGGGAGAAGATGGGCGTGACTGTGCAGGATGACGGCGAGTTCTGGTGAGTGCTCCTGCCCTGGGCTGCGGAGCGGCCTCCTGTGTGTGGGTAGGAAGCACCGGTGGGAGGCGGGAGGCAGGGCTCAAGCAACTTGCTGGTGGCCTTGGACAAGTCACACCATCTCTCTGAGCCTGTTTCTTCCTCTGTAAAATGAATTGGGCATAGTGGACCCTTTCATCCCCATAGTCCCCACTGCCCACCTTGGGACCCTGAGCTGTTCTGGCACCCAAGCTGAGCCCTTGGCAATTTGGCTAGGATGCCAGGGGTGACGATTGACTGGAGGGCAGGGGGCACGCTGGCAGCCTGATTGCCAAGAGCAGGTAGTGAAGAGGGGAGGCCTCAAGGAGGAGCTATGTCCTAAGCTGAGGCTTGGGATGCCTAGGAGCCTCGTGGGCAAGGAGAGAGACCTAGCTCAGTGGCAAGAGACATACTTGGTTTTGAGAAGAGTGAATTCAGGGAGGCGAGGGGAGTTAGGGTAGGGGGTGGTGGAAACAATGGCAGCAGCTTTGCTTAAAGAGCCCAGGAAGGATTTTTTTTATTATTCATTTTATCATCAATCTACAATTACACGAAGAACATTATGTTTACTAGACTCCCCCCTTCACCAAGTCCCCCCCACAAACCCCATTACAGTCACTGTCCATCAGCATAGTAAGATGCTGTAGAATCACTACTTGTCTTCTCTGTGTTGCACAGCCCTCCCCATGCCCACCCCCACATTACACATGCTAA